AAGTTATGCGAATTAAGCTTAACTCAGAAAACTCCAAGGAGGAATTAATTTTCAAAGGTTTAAAATTGTAAATATGTTGTGTCTAAATTCTTGTATTTATTAAAAATTCATCTTCAATCATTTCAACAAAGCATTTATTTTCATCACAGTGCAATCAATGTAATTTGATCTGAAGTGACAAACTATGTAAATGAGTCTGTAAATAGCTATGCAGGCAAAGACTGCTTGATTCTCCCTAAAAGAAAGTACTTCATTCCCCTTTGATGGGTTTCAAAATCCAAAAGCTCACTTTCCCCAAGAGGAATAGAGCAGGGAGTGGAGACTGCTTTACTGTGTTTGCATACTGCAGACTACAGAGACCCATTGTTAGTATCTTACCTTCTTTTTTCTTTCCTTCTGTGTGCCACTGAGTACTGAACATGCAGTATTGTACATTCTAGTCAAGCACTCTATATTCAGCTGCAGGCCTAGACCTGGCATTTACTAATAAAAGATTTTTTAAGTTCGTTAATCCATCATTTAAATATACCGTTTTATCAGTAGAATTTAAGAATTTCTTTCTTATATCACTGTTACATGGCATGCATACCATCTCATTAAAATAAGTAACTTCCAGCAGAGATCTGTCAGCTAATCCCTGTTTTTCTTCCCAAAGAAGGTATATCCAAGGAGTAAAATTATCCAACTCCAAAAGAGTGAATTTGTAAACTCATTTAATGTATTCTGCCTTATAGTTTCTGATAAAATTTATAAACCTGTCATTGATAATATTAACTCCCTAGTCTTTACTATTTTAATAATTAAATATTTTAGTTTCTTAATAAGCATATTTTACATTACTAGTAAATTGTGCTTAAATATCAGAAATTGATGATTTCTCAGACATTTGTGACTCTTGTTTTTCATTTTTAGTCGTTTGAGAGTTTGATACATCTATGTGATGGATATCAACCCTCTCTCGCTGTGCTTCACCCCTTCTCCCGCTGGCACCTTTTTCCAGAGATCTCTCCCCCACCGTCTGCATCTTCTTGTGTGTGGACTACGAAGTTTAATCAGAGTTATTTGCCTAAGTTTGGGTTGAAAGTCACTCAGTGGAACAATAAAAAGATGTCCTCTGTGTATTACCTAGGCACCACAATCATGAATTCACTGTACCCTTGTTACCTGCAGAAGAGTGAGTCCACCATTATTTCTATTTTTGTCCTTTCTTTTTTAATTTAAATTAGAAACAAGCTTCACAGGTCAATTCCAGCTCCCTCTTCCTCCTCCCCTCCCCCGACACCACAGCCCCCCAAGGATCCCACCCAATTTCCCCTCTGCTCCCCAGGGAAGGTGAGGATCTCCATGGAGGATCTCCAAAGTCTGTCATATCATCCAGGGCAGGGCCTAGGGCCTCACCCATGTGTCCAGGCTGAGACAGCATCCCTCATTGCGGAATGGACTCCCAAAGTTCACTTGTATGCCAGGGATAAATACTGATCTACTATCCGAGGCTCCAGAGATTGCTGAGGCCTCCTTACTGACACCCATATCCAGCGGTTCTGGTTCAATCCCATGCTGGCCTGTCAGCCACCAGTCTGGGGTTCATGAGCTCCGTCCCCCTTGTTCAGGTCAGCTGTTTCTGTGGATTTCACCCACTGTGTCATGACCCCTTTGCTCATTACTCTTCCATATTTCAACATGAATGATGAAAAGATTTACTCTTCACAAGGGACTGTTAGTAATTCTCAGGTTTTGTGAGGGCAAGTTAATGCTAGTTTTTAATCTTCCCCTTTGTGGGACAAAAACTACTAGTATTATTTTTTCCGTAATTAATGCTTTTCACAAAGTTGTTTCCCATTCCAAAGTGTGTCAGCAGTGGTTTAAATCCATTGTTTCAGTTATTTCCACAGTCCGCGCACTGAAAGTAGAACTGTTTTTGTCTTTTGGAAATCTGTTCAAACTGGGCAAGTAGATGATGCTGGCCTCATGCATATGGCGATTTCTGCCACTTCAGCTGACCAAATGGGGTGCTGCTACTCTAGGATTTCTGGTGATATCCTTCTCAGTATTCTCTGTTATCTCATTTCCTTCCCTCCATCTTTCCCCGGCAATATTTCTTAACTTTGGCTCTAATCGTAATGTAGGTTGAGGTGGTTACTAAGATCATCCAATAGCTGTCAAATTACCTCATCCCAACACTAAAGATCTAAGGGAAATTTTTCCCTCCCAAATTCCAAATTTAAGAGTTTCCTAATTTATCAGAAATTAAAAGCAAATTGAATAATTGGAGGCAGACTGTCATCTTTGATGTAAGGTGCTGTGTTTTGATATAAAAACAGAATACAGGTAATATCTTGAGGAAACTGTTATGATGTCTGCTTCATGAAGAGAATAATATGAATGCAAACAATTTTAAAATGAAAATTGTTACACATGCTCTGTTGGTTATTTGAAGTACAGTACATCAAAAAGCACTTAATAAAAGTCTTTCTGAATGAGGGATATCTAAGAGAATCGCTGATAAAAAGGATATTTTATTGGATATCAACTAAAGGTTCATCCAGTTTTTCAAACTTCACTTAACAATAACAACTTTGAATAGACTTGTGGTTTGCTAAAGCTTTCAATTTGTCTCCTCCAGAACTCACATTAAAATTTAATTTTCATTTTGGAATAGCAGAAGAATTGGACAAGAGGGAATTCGGTGTAAACTTGATTGAAGCACATTATATGCTTCTCTGAAATTCTCACACACAAAAAGAAAAGACAGAAAAATCACAGTATAGAAATTCCAAGGGACATGAAGTAATACAAAGGACATGCAAATAATATAAATTGTGACATATGTAAGTTCATTTCTTACAGACACTTTCAGCAGCTCTAACTCTCAAATCAATTTTATATAGCTTTCACACAACACAATAGAAGAATGTATTTTCTCATCGGTATTTACTTCTGTTAAGTTGGATTTTGTTTATTTTAAAAGTTACTTTTTGAGATTATCATACAATTACATCAGTATCTCCATGGCTTACATCCCTTCAACCTGTCCCATGAAACCTCCCTGGTATCTTTCAACTGCATGCCTCTTTGCTTCATTATCTGTCTGAATGTCTGTCTGTCTACCTATAATAAACCCATCTTTTATGCATCTTTTTACATAAATATATAAATATAATGTGCTGGATCTATTTAGTATTGTTTGTATGCGTATGGTTTCACGGATGATCAGCTAGCATTGCATAACCACTTAGGTGGCTAATCCCTAGGAAAGACTAATTTTCTTCTCTCAGTAATCTTAATTATTTGTACTTCTTCAAGGGGGGATGGCTGGTGATATTTGCCTCATTCACAGTGGCATAACATTTGGTATTGTCATCATTCAGATATTATTTAAGAAGCCATGTTGTTTTATCACGGATCTAGTTTCCCTGTCATCTCTAGGAGACAAGTTCTCAAAATTGACTTCCTGTCCTCTGGCACAGACATTGCTCTGCCTCCTTTTGGAGAATGTTCTCTGAGCCTTAGATGAAGGGGTTTTAGTGATGATGATGTATCTGCTGGGGTTGGTGCCCCATAACCAGCTGGTATCTGTGTTTTGACCAGTGATGGCATTCTGAAAGGATCTTTGTCTGCTGCAAAGGTGTTTGTGAATCCTGGCTCCAGTTTCGTCTCCCTCCTCTTCTACCAGCCCCTCATCCCTACTTCTAGATATAATCCTTCCTCCTCTTTCCCTTTAGAAGAGGACAGACCTCGAAGGGGCATCAGCCAAACATGGTATACCAAGTTATAATAAATCTAGTCACATCCCTTCAGATTAAGGCTGGATGAGGAAACCCAGTAAGAGGAAAAGGGTCCCTAAAGCAGGCAAAAGAGTCAGAAACAGTCCCTGATCCCACTCTTAGGAGTCCCACCGGGATACCAAAACACATAACCATAGCAATATATTCTAGGTCAGACCCATACAGGCTCCCTGCTTGTTGATTGAGTCTCTGTGAGCCTCTTATAAGCCATGGTTACTCGACTCTGTGGCCTGTTTTCTTATAGTGTCCTTGACCATGCTGGCTCCTACACTCCCCCACCCTCCTTCACAAGATTCCATGAGTTCCACCTAATGTTTAACTGTGGGTCTTTGTGTCTACCCAGTCTCTGGTTCCTAGCTTTCCAGGCAATCGTATTTTTCCTTGATAATGAATAATAGCTACATATTTTGCTGCATATATTTGCTTTCAAATATATGGGTCTTTGTTTAATTTCATATATTTTTACAACATAAAATGTGGCTCACAAAATTGAGAACTAATTCTCCTTTTACAATTAGAAATATTGAAGACAATATCCAGATATCAAATAGATATACAACACTGCTTGACTTTAAATTGCAGAGTTTTCATTTTTAAATAATGATAAATATTTTAATAAACAAGATATACTTTTCTGTAAGGAAATTAGGCTAGAATTAAAAAAAGAAAATTTGTTTTAATTTCTCATATGACAAATCAATAAGGTGCAGTTATTGAAAAAATAACACTTATAATGCTTAAATGAGAAAATATCACTTCACTTGGTAATGGGTAAATGGAAAATACTATTTCATAGTGTAACAATGAACAAGTTAAACAAATAATTATTATTTTCACTGAAGCAAAGTGTACATACACAAAGTGTATGTTTTAACAAGCTTTGATATACATGTATATTTCCTACACAATAACTATAGTCAAAAGAGTGAGAAAATGTGACAAACCCTAATTTTCTCTTTTTCTCTTCGACTGTCTTTCTGTTATCATTCCTATTCAATCTTGCTTGTCTTACTATTAGATGAGTTCCTGGCATTATGAATAAAATTAAATTTCCCATATATTTACAGACAGAATACGCAGCATTTATATACGTTCTCCTGGCATTTTTAATTTAGTCAAATTATTTCTACATTTACTCTCATTATAGCATATATGAAGAGTTCATTGAATGTATTTACTTATAAGTAATATTTTATTCTTCTGTCATGTCATGAGATTCAGGTAATGTACTGCATTTTGTAAGGGAGTGTGAGGAGCTGCCCTCGCTATCGCTATCGCCATTAGAAGATGGCGCTGACATCCGCTGTCAGTTGGAGTTCACCGTTTAAGCTGTGCCTCTCCCGTGGTGTCATCTGGGGTGATGAGCAAACCACCAATCTCGGCTCTACACGTCTCACTCGGAGCTCCTAGCCTTATATAAGGGGCTGGGTTTCTTAGCTTGGGGTCTCCCTCTCAGAAGCTGATCATCTATCTCTCAAGATGTATTAAAGCTTTACTGCAGAAGGATCCGAGTGTCCTGCGTCGTTCTTGCTGGCGAGACGGTAGCGCGGGACAAGGGAGTAGAGTAGTATATTTATCTCAGTAGAATAACAAAACATGAATAACTTTAAAGAAGTAAGATAAGTTATATTATAGTTCAAAGGACATCATGATGGACAATGTAAGTGTGTGTGAGTACTAGGTTGAGGAATATTCCTTTTTGGTATTGTAGATGTGGTAGACTAAAAATAAGCTCTAAATCTCAATTGAAAAAAGTATATAAGTATACTATATATAGTATACAATTTTCAAAGGCAATGGAAAAGTCTTCAGAGAGGAAGGTAAAAAATGAATGATCATGATCTACCAAGAAAAATAATTATGGAATACATGTCAGCATAGTATGCAGTCACTTAAATTGCTTGAGTCAGAATGATGTGTTTATTTTTCAATATATAGCATTTGTTATCCTACAGACTGAGCACATTATACTTAGGAACATATGTGATGATATATATATATGAATATAGCAGTTAATGAAAAAAGAGATGAATTTGAAAGGGAGTAAGGCGGGATATATGAGAGGGCTTGAAGAGAGGAATAGGAAGAGGGTTTTATATTGTAACCCCCAAAAAAGAAATAATTAAAAGTATAGAGTTACAGAAAACAGTAATAAAGAGAAAATTAAATATAGCTATATTATAAGTGTTATTCGTAAATATGGGATCACACGTTAAGTTTTGTGCATGGTTTTGAGTTTATATATGTATTTAGATTTTTGTTATACCATACTTAGTTAAACTTTATGATAAGATTGTTGCAAATTTTATGTTTAAAAGATACATTGGTTCATACTTTGCATCATTTATATTATAAATATTCTACATAGATGGAATGAGTATATTATTTTAAAAATTACAATGTTGCTTAATTGTTGGTATTATCAGTTGAAAAATTCAAATGCACTAAATAGGAAAGCAAATATGAGGAAGAAAACATTAAACTTAGCTAGCGTAATGTTTACAGAGATTATCTGAAGACAAAAGTATTGGGATAATTTTCTTAAAAGACACCCAGTGTGTTCATTGTCATATTTTTAATAATGGAAAATTACTGTAACCTCATCAACAAATTGTAAAATCATAGTTTGCTACTATTTAACTAAAATGCAATAAAAATGCACATTTAATAACAAACTATGAACCTGTAGTTCAATCTCAAGGTATATAACTTCCTGTGTAGTTTAGTGGATTCATACCCAATAATGTGGTTCTTCTTGCCTTGTAATTTATTGTCATTACTGCAGCAACTTACTTTGTTAATAACCTTGAAGCAAGATTAATGTGCCAGATATGAGATCTGATGGGGAAACTAAAAGATTTTGATTCATTCTCTTGCCTTTAGCAAATAACACATCTTTTCTCTGGGGTCTCTCAAGTTTACTTTACCGTATAGTAATTAACCACTGAGGTATTGGCTATTACCCCAGTTAGCTGCTGAGGAAACATGGGTCTTTATATTCATAGGGAAGTGATGTAAGTTCCATAAAACTTTTCAGAAACTTGTGTTTTTAACAAGTGTGATAATTGAAAAGTGATTTTTTTCCTTATGGGTCCATAACAAATGAAATAATTGATAATGTAATAATTAAAAACACACTGATGTGCTTAATAGCACTTAAATCAGAAAAACAAAATATTTTAAGTAACTACAGATTACAAATTAAACTAATTCTCAAATAAAATTGAAAACAACTTAGAATACTTTTTATAAAATATATAATTATCAATAACAGATGACATTTACCAATAATTTATATATCAAGGGCTATGGAAATAAAAATCTTTCAATTAATTTTTAATAATTATGTAAGATAGGTTCTATTACCACATCATCATTCTGAAATCAAAGTCTAGGCACATATTTCCTTTCAAAATATTGATACATACCTGTAGTTAGGGAGATTAAATAGTCATATTGTGAGGTCAAAGCCAGTCTTAGCTATATAGCAACGCCATGTCTCAAAAACCACAAATTAAAAAAATATGTTTAGGTTCAGTTTATATGAATGTGTTAGAACATTGAATTTAGAAGAATTTATGCCTTAATGATCCTGAAGTCAAGTAACAACGAGGCATGGTAGCATAAGCCTGTAATAATACCAGTGCTCTGGAGTAAATGTCAGGGATATTAGAAAGTCAAATTTACCTTCTGTAGAGAGTTCAAGGCAACTGTGGTCTATGCAAGACACTATCTCAACAATCACAGCAATTATATGTCAAATCAATAATAAAATTAGTAATAGAAATACAAAAAGGAACATTGAGATGACTTGGCTAATGAGGACTCTGGGATGATATATTGTTTATGGTCCAATAAAGCCACTGGAGATCAGAATGAAAAGCTAGTCACAGCCATAACAGCTGGGCAGTGGTAGCACACACATTTAATCACATGACACAGGAGACAGAGGCAGATGCATGTGTGTGAGTTCAGGGCCACCCAGGGCTATACTAAAAGTATATAAGAAGGAGCCCAGAGTCTCATATGGCATTTAGTATTCAGTCTCAGGGCAACTAGTCTCCAGACATGGCAAGGACAGGATTTCCTCAACCATGGTAAATGTAAGAGCTCTCTGGTGGCTTTGCTGCTTCGGTTTTTCTTATCTTCAGCTTAAACCTCTATATATATATATATCTAGGTTTTTATTATTCCTGCTACAGGATGGTTGGTGCCAAATCCACTAATAGATGCCTTCTATCTGTCTTCTAGCCTCCATAAAAACACCATGGCCTGATGGGGGAAGTCCTGTGATTATGTCAATAAAGCACTGTTGGCCAATAGGGAAGTCAAATAGGTGGGACTATGAGTCCAGGAGGACTCTGGGTAGGAGGGACACAGAGAGTCAAGATGTAACGCCATGGGGTAGGAAGCCCGGAACTATTCTCTGGTAAAAGAAATACTTAGATTAACAATTATGGGGTAATTACTTAAGTCAGAGCTAGCCAGTAAGAAACAAGCAAGGCCAACAGCTTCATAATTAATATAGCCTCCTGTGTGTTTATTTGGGACTGATGCGGCTCTAGAACCAGGCTGGCGGGAAGGCTTCTCTCAAGGAAAAAGCTTCCTTTTACAATGGCTCATGCATGAGAGCTCATTAAATAAAAAATGTGATCATTTTATTTGTCTTAAAAGAAATCAAGTCAAATGTGTTTATGCATTTCTCAAATGTTTCAAGGATGTTGAGAAACATCATATAGGTGCTAACGAATGAACAGCCCCTTGTGGAATGGGGAAGGAAGTATGCAAGGTAGGAATTGGGTGTTCAGAGACATGGGAGTCTGAGAGAGTGTGTGCCCAGGACCTGTGTGAGGATCGCTTTGAAATGTAGTCATGCATTCAGACCCTACTGCTTGTCCTGAATTGAGATTCATAGCAAAGTAATCCTTGCCAAACATGAACATGGTTATCTTTTTGTCTCACTCTAAACTCAGTCTGTACTGCTCATTCTCCTCAGTGGAAAGTTTTCAGAACTTATCCCTACAACATTGTTTGATGAGGGTGAGATGACACAGGATAGACAGTGAGTGTACCAGTGAGTGTTCCAGAGAAACACAACCATGCCTTTCTGCAAGTACACCACTTACATCTCTAAGGAGAAAGATTTGGTTAAATAAATTGGCTTTGGGGATGTTACAAGTTCACAAGCTGCAGGCTGGAAATTTAAGGTTGAGTTGGGGTAAGAATAGAGGGGACCAGGATGAGAGATACCATAATAGTTGGAGTCATTATGGCTTTGAGGAAAGAGCTGACACTAGTGAGATTTCCAGAGATCTACAAGGATAACACCAACTGGAAAACTAAGTAATAGCAGAGAGACTACATTAATAGCCCCTACCTGATGATAAGGATGATGACTACCTTATATGCCATCCTAGAACCTTCATCCAGTGACTGATAGAAACAGAGACAGATACCCTCAGCTAAACACTGAACTGACCCCCTGGAACCCAGTGACAGAGATGGAGGAGTGATGAGCAAAGGGGCCAAGACCATGATGGTGAAACCCATAGAGATGGCTGATCTGAACAAGGGGGAACTCTTGAACCCCAGACCGATGGCTGAGAGGCCAACAGGGAACTGATCCAGACTCCATGAATGTAGTGCCAGTGAGGAGGCCTCAGAAATGTCTGGGGCCTTGGGTTGTAGATTAGTGTTCACCATGGCATACAAATGATCTTTGGCAGCCCATTGCACATGGAGGGATATTCTCCCAGCCTGCACACATGGGGAAGGGCTTGGCCCTGCCTTGGATGAAATGATGGACTCTGAATATCCCCCCAAAATGGGCCTCACCCTCCCTGGGGAATGATGTGGGGATTGGGCCTGAGGGTGAAGGCTGGTGGAGGGACAAGGAGGGGGCAGCTGGGATTGACATTTGAAGCATGCGTGTTTCTAATTTAAATAAAAACATAAAAAAGAATTAATATTTCACCTAAATCCTGAAAGCAGGCTACTGGTCTAATTCTTGGATAGGAGGTCAGTCTTGAATGAGACCTCCAACTTGCCAGTGATTAACCGGCTTCACTCTGGTTGAAATGTTAATCTCACCGGAAAAGTAATACTTTGAAATCAACATCCAGAATAATATTTTATCTAATATCTGAGAGCCATGAGCCAGCCTAGATGCCACATGAAAATGTAGCATAATCACAGAGTCCATGAAAAAGGTAAAACAGGTAAATTACCTTGGCGAGAAACTGGCTTTATTCTGCTAAATAGTTCTGCATAGAGAGAAAGTCACATTTTAAAGGAAATCTTAACAATAATAAATAAACAAATCTATCATCTCTCCTGAAATTATTAAGGATGTACTTGAAGGATGACAATCCTCATATACTTC